GGTAATTTCTCGCTTTCTGTCTCTTTGTCTCTCTCTGTCTTTCTGGTAAGCGCACGCACCCTATAGCAAAAACCTCTTCAAAAGAAAAAAAATATATTTCTTTAGAAGTTCCATCTCAAAACGGCCAACAGGAGTTAGGGCTTCAACATGTGGTTTGAGGGACATGATTCACTCCGTAACACTGCATAGTCACCCGGCAGCACCAGTAGCCTCGATTAGCATGAGTTCGTGCATAGCCTCCTCCCTGCACCACGATGACTCCATCCACGGTCCCATTAACAAAGGCTGGCTGATGTCAACCAGCCAAATCATTCTCATATTTGGTCAATGAGTGTCTCTTCTGTGCTGAGGCTCTGTGGGCATCACATGTGCTACTCCAAACTCACTTCTGTAGGTCCATGCATATCCCTCTTCTTCAAACCTCCTTGGCTCCAATATTCCAAACTTTCTTCTTCCAGACTCTTGATCAACTGACGAAGCTATTTCCAGCTGCCCGTGAGGCTGCATATACTTGACTCTTAGGCTAGTTCTCGCAGTCTAAAGTGGATGGGCAGGTGCACCACTTGAAGTGGCTGTACCAGGACTTCCCCTCACCACTGTCTCTAAGGGCTATTCCCCGGTGAGGCTGGAACGTAGCAATAGGTTCTTTACAGCTTGCACATCTGTGAAGCACTCAGCGTTTCCTTTGTCAGCTGGTGATGCCTCCCCCAGCGTGCTAACCAAAAAGCCAGAGCCTGAGCCCGGCCCTCCCAGGGGCCAGTGTACACCAGCTTAGACTCTAGAACCTAGTCTCATCTGAAGCTGAGACTCCACCAGAACTCTTAAACCTTCTGACCCTTTCCATTTTGCAGGGGCCACTCCCTCACAATCCTTCATTGATTCGTGATATTTACTCTGTGGCTCAGGCACTTCTTTCCTAATAAAAAATCTGTGGGGCCGAGTGGGTGCTTTTTGCCCAGTGCTACAGAGATAAAGTGGTAACCTTGACAGAGGCAAGGAGAGACTGCAGGAAGGCTGACACCAATTTCTTTGGCGGTTGCTTGTGCTCACTTCACAGGCCCCTCCAATTCTGGGATTACTTCAGCAGCAGCAGCAGCAGCTACAGTCTCTTGGGAGTAGGAAGAGAATAAAACTCTCCACCCTTTCCCGCACTTATATTTCACTAGCTGCATGTGCACACAGCAGCACTACTGATGCTAACCACATGGTCTGGCGTGGAGTAGCATCCATGGAGGGTAGGGACAGTAGCTGCATCCAGGCAAAGGTCATTTGCAACCTTTATTCTCATCCTGTCTGATCTTTTCCCCAAATCATCCTTGATACTGACACAGGGCTACTTCTACAAGGGAACTGCAGACCCCAGGCATACAAGGGCTTTTCCCATCCCACTGGAAATGTCATGGCAATCCCAGCTCCTTAAGCAGTTGCATCCCCTTCTTCAGAGAGAGGATCAGAACAAACGACCTCATGGCTGGGGGCTGGGAGGAAAGTGTGAAAGTGCCCCCAAGGCCCCGCCTCTCCTGTCCTGTGATGGTCTGGATCCCTATTTGCTCTGAGCAACTAGAAACACCACCACAAAAGGAAATGGACTCAAGTGTAAGAGACAGAAAAGATGCACACACAGAGCCAGCTAGCAAGAGACGTCCTGTCTCAAAGCCAGCCAGTATGCAGGCTGACCTCTTTCTTGCCCTTGGCACAGCCCCAGTGAAAGCCTCTAGCAGCTCTCTCTTTTCTTTTTCTTTTTTTTTTTTTTTTTTGGAGAGGTTTTTTCTATAAAGTCGCGGGCGTCGCCAGA